TCCAAGTTTCCAGATTACTGAGGCTTGCCAACAGTTCAGAATAAAAAGCCGACATGCCGAACTTCTGCACACTCGTCGTTGCATTTCCTTCCTTTCCTTTCCTTTGCAAGGAGCCAAACATGTTCAATTTCTTTTGCTTATCTGCATTTTAAAAGTATTTGTTTTCTACTTCTACAGCATTATTCCCACCGATGGTGCTTGATATGATTGTTGGAGACTGTAGGATATAATCCAAGTGCACGTCTTGTGTAGTGCGTGAATTCCCGATCGTGGGCACCTCGTCATCGTGTCACCTGGTCGGACAACTGAATCGTTGTTTACAAAAAGGAACGAAGTGTGCGGTTCCAAAGCCGCTGGTTAACTTTGGCAATAAAGACAAATCTTTTATCCAATATTGCCAGCCATGAGGCTGGTCACTTGATAGCTTCTCCTTCACCCACCGTGGGTCAATTTTCAGACTAACTCTCACTTTTATTTGCCATGACATAATTGACTCCGGCAAACAAGTTTTGTCCTTTGTTTTGTCTTCAGCAATTTTGACCCGTCTTCACGACTACTGCTTACCTTTAAAATGCGTTTTTCAGGGTGGACACAGTTATAATTGCCGCTTCTACGCTCGGCAAGATGTGCTCTACAGCCTGCAGTCACGATCTCCTCCGCTAATCCATCGTTCTCACGGTACCTTGCTTACTGCTCTCGGCTTCCACAATCTGCTCTACCTCCGCACCCCTGGTCGATACGTGGGGCAAGAGGCGGCTCTGGCTACAGGTGAGCATAGCGGGTCTGTCCGCTTGCAGCGTTGCCCTCTCCACAAAATCCCACTAGACGAACCTCGTGACCAGTCGACTCCTCCTCCTCCACCTCCCAGCGTGTCTCGCATTATCTTCAAGTTCTGCGAGGCCACACTGGGGGTTGCTGTGGCCTCGGTGGTGATAGCCATTCTCACGCACTTGGAGCTCTCGCACGACAACACCGCCCAGGTCGTGGGGTACAAATTTGGCTCTGCGATCGGAGTTGGCTTCCTCTCTTGGCTGAGTCGTCTCCTCTTCTCCGTTCTGTGTTGTCTATCTTGTAGGAATATCTCTCACCACCATGTACGAGGGGCTCGATATGTCGATGGGAGTGTACACACGACTACCGATAAAACAAGTCGGGGTGAAAGGCGTGTAGTATATATTATCTTGTACTTAAATGTTTTCAGTAGAGGTATTATAACTTTGACATTTCACCGAAAAGGCGACCTCAACGAGGGTAGCAGTCAAGGCTACAAGGACCGATTATTTAAATGTCAAAACAGTACTTGCATGATCGCGTGCACCTGTGAGTTGTCATTGATTTGATTTCGAACTAACTGGGTGAATTTCGACACATCAGCTAATATCGCGTAATGTAGATCGGAGTGTTAAATCCCGCATAACCGCCGATGATTAATGAACGTTCATGTAGACCTTGTGCGATTTTGGACTAATAAAATTTGGTAGGCATTAGAGCAACAATTGATTGGCTGTGGAAGCCCTTCATGATTACCAGCGCGTACTGCTTATTCACACTGCAAATGAAGCCACAATTCGCCCTCTTAGCTACGGCAATTTGCGCATTTATGCAAATCCTTCTCAGAGGCGTTGCCTGTCGTTTTTAGGGTGCGTCAATTGTCACCCCAGATCGTGCTCTACACGCGATGTCGACACACAAGCTTCTCCATACGAACAACTTCAATTCCGTTGGAGGTGCAGTTCGCGAGAATTAACCCTACTTCTTCAAAAAAAGCACAAAATCTGTGAAGGGAGTCA